ATTTCAGAGAGCCTACTCAGTATTTTCCAGGGAAACATAAAACTCTAGATTTATCATAAACTCTCACAACTCTCCTTCGCAATCTTAAAGAATTTAACCATAAAACTCTGCCATAGTTCAATCATTTAAAAACATTGTTAAAAAAATGTCATTATTTATAACAGTGTAATTTTTCTGATAGATATTTTACCCTAAGAAATACAGGGTGCTGCAAAAAAACCGATCAATTTTCTGAAGGGCACTGTTAAGCGATAGGTCGTCCGAGAGTGGTGGGAGTAGGCTCGTTGGAAAGCCTACACAATGTCATTTTTTGTAGACATAGAGCAGTGGTCGTCTGAGCTAGTGCGGTTGTTATGGAGTCGTTTTTATAAAATGGTGAATTTATTCATTACTACTCAGCAGCAGTTTCATGCATTCATTCAATTTTCAATTAAGGTGACATGGAGAAGTTCCTTTGCGTAGCACAATAATGCGGTGGGTTACTTACTTTGGGGCAACGGCTTCTGTGTTGAAAAGGAAGCTGACAGGCCTTCCAAAGTCAGATCGGACGCCAGACAACAAACAATCCATAGAGTTCGTGCTGCTGTGGAAAACAGTCCTCGTAGGCTGCCTTGAACATGTCTGACCGCTCAGTTATACGAATTTTTAGGTTATTTTTCATCCCTATGGATTAGAATAATAATCTGTATAATTTGGTAATCATCCATACAGATAATCACGACGGAACCTCTCTATGTCGACCTAATTGAATAAAAGCTTTGGAACTGCCGCTGAGTTGCAATGACTAAACCATTACTTTTTAAAAACAACTCGATAACAACCGCACGTAGCTCATACGACCACTGCTCTAAGACTACAAAAAATGGCATTGTATAGGCTTTCCAACAAGCCTACTCCCACCATCCTCAGACGACCTGTCGCTGAACAGTGCGCTACAGAAAATGGATCGGTTTTTTTGCCGCACCCTGTATTAGGCTTTACTGTGTTCCAAACAATGGATATAGGCTAACTAGATGGTAACTACATAATAATGTTAGAGGAAATGCCCATGGGCCTCGGCAGGAATTTTCTTCAAGGCAGAGAGCAACAAGTCTTGTTCAAACAAGTTCACGTAAAAAACGTTAAAACATGATTGTAAGCTGTCAAGCCAAATTATTCTTCAAAAACATTTAAAAACCATTTATCTGTCACAACAATCTGTTCTAAACCTTACACAGTGTGGGAAAATTTAATCTAAGTTTGTCTCGGGTATGCATGGCTTCTACTGGCCTCCTCTAGGCGCCCTTAAGAATATGAGAAAAAGTAATTGATTTTTTTTAAGAACCTGATGTGATAAATATGACCAATTGACCTATAGAGCCTACCTAATAAATCAACTAATTATTGCCTTGTAAAAAAATTAAGAAAACCGGATTTTTAAAAAACAAAATATAATGTAGACCTAAAATACGTAGCCTAGTCTATTTGAGCTTGCGAAAACACCATGTTAAGTGATGAGTCTTTTTTACTATACAAGGGCTTAGACATTTTGGAGGGTGCTTACATTCACGGGTCAGCAAGGGGGTTAGCCCCCCAACACACGGGGGTCCGGGTCTTCCCCCGGGATATTTGAGTAAATTTGCCATGCCTTTACCGTTCGACAATTAACCATATAGCCTATTACTGACACAGTCAAATTCATTAGGATAAAAATATAGAAATAATAGCTAAAAATTTGATTTAATTAGTTTAAAAAAGGTATGTACACTCATCCACAAAAGAGGACTCGTTCGTTTGAGTGTCACCCTCCATACAGTCTGTGCCAACTAACCTCGCTCTCCCTTTCGATAAACCAACCGGCATTACATCAACACAGGTTTATTAAGCAGGTTAAAAAAGCCTCAGTTAGTTATTGTTGAAAACTTAATTTTATGAGAATTTCAGGGGGTGCTGTAGCACCTTCCAGTTCAGCACTCCCCCTGGCTATGCCCTTGCTCTTGACTATAAATGCCCAATAACACTACTACTCAAAGATAACTATGCAAAAAATCATATCAGTTGATAGTAAAACATATTGGCAATGAGGTAAAGAAAACAGGGATAACAACATAAAGCTTTATCAGCTTTTTGCCATTAAATAGTACTTAACAATACTTCTAGTTTAAGTTGCGTACAAAAAAAACACCCTGTAGAATGTGTCTAGTTCACTCGCTTTTAATTAAGGAAACGTTGTTGACAAAATGTAGCCTAAATCTCAGTGGTAATTACTTAAAAGAAATATATGACAACAGTGAGTGAACTATCAGAATTTTAACTGAGACTGTACTTGTAACATCAACCAACACAAAGAGCTCACTGCAGGTAGATGAACATTGCTTAACATATTACACAAACAAACACTGTTTGTATACCTAAGTGACTCATACATTCCTCTACATTACAGAACACTATAACTAACTTGGATTCATACAAAACTCAATTTTCGAATGTTTTAGTCTCTGGCGCTGGTGTGAGGGTTTGTGTGCATGATTTTATTTAGTACCGTACTGTACTTGCTTAGGTTATTTACCTTTGCTAGGTTTTCACATTGTACTTTTTATTTTACTTTGAAAAAACAAAATATGACATGAGAATATTTCTCATTCTGAGATGAGAAAAGAAAAGTATAAAGCAACTGAGAGCAGGGTGAAGGTAACCTCTTTCATAGTAATTAGTTCCATTGCCAGGCTCATAATGCCACTTTGCTCTATATAATTTCTACGACATTGTAACGTAATCTTTATATTCTAAAACATGTTGCTTCATTTGAACTTTTCAATTAAATACAAATTATTATTAATAAGTTATGTAATTTATAGAATTTGAAGCATTTCTATAAAAAATACCTCCGCCTCAGAAAACCTGCAGACTAAATAAATTTCAATAGCCTAAGTCCGATTTGGTTTTTCCTCAAATATATCCTTAAGACATACTTTTTTCCACATTTAAATAACATTGGTGCTGGGTAGCCGAGTGGTTATTGCGCTCGCCTTCAAATCTGAAGGTAGCTGGTTTGAATCCAAGCAAAATGGTTTCCAGACTCAGTGCCATTTGTCATTGGGATATGAATTAATGATGCTATCTAACGAAAAGGTCGACGTTAGATAGTAAAAGGACTACGGTTTGGACTGTTCCCTTTCAAAACGTAAAAAATGCAAGTGGCGTAGAAACACACAAACAAATAAATAATAATAATAATGCTTGCCTAGCAATCAAAAGATCGCCGATTCAATTTTGAGAAGAATGTGTAGCTTTGTGATGGTTCGAAATTGGATCTAGCTGTCTTAGATCATTGGGCTTACAATAAAATGGTCCTGACTAATGAAACAGCTGGTCTTGGTCAGTAACAAAGCTACACAATGCATCAAACTTCATGTTACACTCATCCTTCACTCATATTGGGGTTTAAATGCACACATAGGTGGCTTCCCCATCTCAAATTAATAAGAATATGAATATTTAACGAGTAGGCCTACAGTGTACTTAGGTTTGCTCTTAAGGGGAAGGTAAAAAGTTTTTTTTTTCGGCCAAATGATAATAGGCTAACTTAGAAGATAAAATAAATAAATGTGATCAAAAAGTACATGAACAAGAAAACTAAGCTAAATTACAGCCGTTTTCATTTTCCCCTTAAACAAATACGCCTTAACATGAGAATTTTAAAGGAACAGCTTTTAGGAATTTTAACCGAAACCGCAAACCAAACCGAATTGCACACACCTGAACTAAATCATTTGTTTTACCTATTTTTAAACTCTAGATAACTTACACGATGGCCATAATAAAAATTGGGCATTTCCATGTTTTAATGGTCAAAATTTGAAAACATCAATTTTGTTAACGTCGACCCCCATAACACCTCGTTCCCATGAATCGATCTGGCTTGTTGGCGATCTCACCCAAGTTGAGAAATATCCTAAGGACTATTCTTGCCTGAAGAGGTGTTTCTAAAGTTCAGGTTTAGGTTAGGTTGGTGGAGTTCTGTTTAGGGTAGTTTAAACTATGAAAAAAGAGGAATACAAATTGACGCCTTTGTAAATTTATCTCTTTAGCAAACAAAACCACAACTTAGGTTAGCCTATCAAATTTTGTTTCTACTAACCTAAAACCAAATGTTAGGCCTAAGTTACCTTAAGTTACCGGTATTTGGGTATCATAAACTTAACTAAGCCAAACTTAACAACACTAAGTTAACCTAAACTAAACTTAGTCGCAGCAGCACAGTGTGAAAAAAAGTATTCCTGAAAATATAAGTACGATCGATGAAGACTTTACACGATACGATAAGTTTTATAACGATATATATATTGAATGAAGATTTCATCCGATAATTTATGCTAAATAGTAGGTTCTCTGCGGAATTGTACCCAAACTTTGGCAAAATTGGATGAAACACAATAGGTATCCTAGGTACCTACTAAAAAATTGAATGTTTGTTAACTAAAGACAGTCGGTAATACGTTGCTACACTTTTGCTAAGTTATCCCATTTGTAAACAGTAACTTAGGCTATGTGCAGATTAGGTAAACAATTGAGGATTTCAGTGGTTTGGTTCGAACAGTTGAAGTTTATATTGGGTTGGCTTAGATGTTTGGATAACAGTGGCCTAAATTTGAAAAGTCTGTCTAGATTTGAAAATATTCATTATTTGAATCCAATAGAATATTTTCCATTCACAATGTCTGTGAACCTCATGATAGCCTGATAAGATTATTCATAAAGGCCTGAAAATTGTAATTCCTCAGTGAAAATCTGATTCTCATAATAATTTAAGACACTATCCATAAACCTGTACTAAAAAGTAACTTAAACAGGTAGGCCTAGCCTAGACTAAGTAATTTTAATTCATTAGGCCTAAGCCTACAAAAATTAGAGATTTAAAGTTGAATCAGTCCTAAATATTACATTCTAAAATAGCTACAGTTATAGGCCTAGACCTACCAATAATTCAGGAAACTTTCAAAACATAAACAAATACTTACACAGTGGAAAACAGCACAGCACGTCCTGTCTCAGATTACCTAGTTCAATAACCAAACATATAACCCAGTTCTTAAATTTAACACTTAAGTGTACACCAACACACAGAAAACGACTTGATATATTTTGGATCCATGACGATGATTAACAAAATTTGGAGTATCTCAAAACACTTACAACATCACTTTAACCAATGTTTTGGCAAGTATTAGCCAACTCAAATTTTGACAGATGTCACTACTGCCATTACTGCAGTACGGCTCACTGGCTCACATGATCATAGTCTCTATTTTCTTTAGACCATCTAGGTTTTCAAAGAGAATGAGGTTGTAGTGCTTTTTTTCTTCTGATATACATAACAAAGTTGGTAATTATAATTAAACAGATTTGCAACATCATTATAATACATAATACACACATGATTACATAAATTAATTTCAGTAAAAGTGTGAAAACATTTTTTAATTTGCATTCCAAACAAAACTCAAGAATATAGAGGAGGCTATGATAGAATCATTTGAACGTTATTAAGACTACATAGTTTGATACTGAATTTATTAGTCGTGGTTTGATTTTATAAAAAAATTCTGTTTTGGTAAGAAAAAAAAGAGTACAACCTGTTCCATGCAATATTGTATGCATAACCTAAAGTTCTGAATAGGTACTACTGGACTTTTGTAGCCTACTTAGGAGGGGGCGTATTCAACAAACACGTTGATTCTTCCTTACAAACAAATTGACAACATTATACCAAAGATTAACCAATGTTTTATTTATGCTTATACAGTTCAGCACCTTACTATTCGCGATTAAGTTCCAGATTAGTTACCTACCATCGATGTGTAGTCCTATAACTTATACATCGATTTCTAGTTACTGGTATCAAAAATACTTTATATTGAAACAATGTGATAAAAGAAAATATCAAAGCAAAAACCATGAAAACACTGTGAAGTATTCTTTTATATTCCACATAATCCATGGTTGGTCAGACCAATGAGTTCACAAACAAAAGTTACGACCTTCTCACCGCAGTATTTCACCTCCCTTTTTTTAGAACCTTTGGAACAGTTACACGGAACTGTTTGGGATAATGTTCAATACAACTGTGACAAAAAGTATAGAATAGGTTAGGCGAAACCGTTATATTACAAATAGCTCCGTTCCTTCTCAACTTTATTATTTTTCCTGCATAAAAATTTAATTATTATGATATACCTTTTTTTCCTCCTCCTCATAATAATAACAAGTCTTTTATAGACATGGACATAACCTGTAAGTTAGTTAACTGGTTTCGTTTATTTAATTATTCTTACATTACATCACGAAAACCGGCTTATTCTTAAAAGACAATGATATAATAGCATATTAAGGAAAACTATTCAAAGAAATTGCACAGTTTTGTTAAATTTGCTAACAATGAGAAAGGTTATAAGGTATAAGGTATTGTTGATGGAGCAGGAGTCACAATGAAAAAGCACATACAAATTAAAATCAAAAGTTTTATTATTATATTTATAGTTATATTTTGGATACAGTATTGTGAAGTTCATAATTATAATAAATTTAACTTACCTTCTTCTGTTTCAAAATTCAGCTCCCCAACTATTATTTCAATGGCATGGGCTTCTTCCAGATGCTGGATCAAGTTTTCAAACCACGAAAATTGATTAGAGCAATCACCCTCTGGGCCTTTGGGCAAATAAAGCCTTTTCGGGTTGTTTGAACAGTCAGATTGTTCACTACAACAACTATCATGCACATTACGTGTATGGCGCGTTAAATTAAATTTACTAGAAAAGTGTTTGTCACAAAATGAACATTCAAACTTTTTTGTATTAATATCAGACATCCTGATCCAGTAACTCTTTAACTTGAAATAACACCATCGATTTGAGATAAAGTTTCCAATCACTTGACAAAATGGAGGTTAAAGACAGAGATCCACGAAAAACAAAATGAACGCCTAAAAAGGAAATGGAATGGAACTCTTTGTTTGTAATGTAACGGTTTTAACAAATCTATTCCAAACAGTTCCGTGTAACTGTTCCAAAAGTTCAAAAAAAGGAAGGTGAAATACTGCGGTGAGAAGGTCGTCAAAAGTTAACCTACTAGCACAAGCGCTACCTTGTAGCTGCGTATCGAACCACGTGAACCATCGGCTTATAAAGAATGTTATCGTTATCCGAGAGATAAATCTTTTTCATATTGTACTAGTGTTGTTTTATGGCTACGCCAAGTGAAAAGGACGCAGAAGAAAATAATATAGCATATATAGATACCGGTATCTTAAAAAAAAGCTACACACCCATAATTTAATTTAACCTCATGGTTTTATGAGGGCTACCTAATCAAAAAGGTTTCTTTATACTTTTATGGTCCTTATAGATCTGCTAAAGACAGTTTTAAGATTTTTTGTGTTTCCGTAGAGAGTATGCTTTGTTCGTTAATATTTATTTATTCTTGTTTTTAAACAAGTATAAACACGTTTTTTGAATGCATTAATTACTGTTTATGTAATTTAAAAGTCGACAGATCTAATGCAATCATTTGGAAACTTTATATAAACAATTAAAGGGTTCAATTCTAAAAGCAAATATCAGACCACAACATTATACCATGTACAAAGTCACTTTTCATGGTGTATTATAGAATATTCGTGATTGTGATAAGAATCAAAAGCGTAGCTCGGGGAAAAATAAAGAGTTTTAATTTAAAACAAATCAAACAGCATACTTTTATTCAATGTTTTAAATGTGATTAAATGCAATCCTAAAATCAAGGTACGTGCCCTTAGGTTTTGGCCTTCCAGTCTTAGGTAACTTTCATGTTTGAAGAAAATACATGAAATAGTAAGGTGACATTAATTAAATATAAAAAAATCATGCCTAAACTTAATTTATAGGTAAATACAACTAAAAACAAAACCATAATAAACATGTTTTTAAGTCAGCTGAAATTTAAACAATGTTCAAACATATGGAAATTATTCTATTCGAACCACATTTCATATAATTTTCCAATACAGCTTCTTCAAAATGCTCTCTTGTCTCACTTTGCAACTCCATCTCAGAAGCATGGTACGGGTCTTTTCAAATTATGTTTTACATAAAAGCATTCATTTTGCACTTCCCTAAAACAATGGAAAGCAGAGGACACCAGGTTTTACATGGTGGTGGGCACGTGCTGGGATGCCGTTACTAGGCAACCAAGCTTAACAAACAGTTCTCCTCTTCTTCCTCCATCCCAACTACACCTGGCCGAACTAAAAGTCTTCTTCACTGTTCAAATATCCGACAGACCCAGTTTGAGTGAATGTGGGCCGTTGTGAGATTGGTCGATATGTTGGCATTGGCAGATGCTGAACCTCATGATGGTAGTCTCGGCAAAACAATTTCAGAGGGGAATGGAGAGTGAATATCCTGATTTAATGCATACCCTATCAATTCAAGATATGATTATGTTAATGATATGCAAAATGTTTGATTTTATTGTGCGAAGCGAGCGAAGCTCTTATACCACACTCCTGCTTTTCTTTTCCACATACTCCTCCTGAACGGCTGATGCGGTCCACATGAAATTTTTTAACAGTCGTATAGTTTAACCAACTATGAGAAGATATGAATCTGAAATGGTGCAATTCGTACTTAGGGATTTTCTCCAAGCAAATTTTAATTTTTAGAAATTTAACATTGGCCTTATGGGATTGGTCATCATGGCACTATTTGAAGATAACAACTAAAAGTAAACAAAAAATCATAACATATATGTTTATCATCAAATCATCTAAAACTGGCACATTACACAGAACAAAAGGGAAGAACTTTCGGATTAATATCGTTGAGCATAATAATTAGGTTCATGGTAATGTATAAGATAATTATATAATAATTATAATGTCATTGACTTAAGATCATTTAAGATACTCCAAATAGCCATTCCACTTTTGTGAACCAAATATACTAATGATTTTAAATACTGCAAGTAAGTGGATATCACATTGACGTGAAGCCGTATGTACTGATTTCGGTATCATAAATACAGGAAAATTTACACTGTAGTAAACGATATGACTGATAATGTCGCTAATGCTTTTATACGTCTTGTCACAAATATAAATTTGAGATCTATGTATGTACTGAGAGGAGTATTTATGAACACCGAGCGTCAAAGTACTAGAATGTACAGTACTTCAGGAGAATTTTGCTTCAGAGTGAGAGTAGAATGGAGTGATATTATATCATTTGGGTAGATTTGTTATTAACGCAGACAAACTTATCATCTAGAACCATTTTGTTAATTGTTACAACCTCAATGTCAATAATTAACATCTGGACAGCTACAATTATCAGTGGCGATTTTCAAGAGCAACAACACGATAACCAGTTGCAATCAATGACCAATATAAACAAGAACAACTTGTCGTGTAATAGCCAAGACCCAACAGCATGGAAGACCAAGACGGCAATGACCAAGACGGCAATGGCCAAGACCAAAAAACTATAACCAAAGACAATGTGTCGTATTATTAAAATTGGATGCACTTATGAATCCCTCTCAAACCTTAGGCATTTTACACCTAGGCATTTAATTCTCTACCATTTCAACCCGTAACCTTGAAAGTTCACGTTTTACGGTTCATCAGCTGGACATATGAATGGCTTCCCGGTACTTGGACAGTTCCAAAGTGACCGACAGCCAAGTCACTCTCATTGTTCTGTCTGTTCCCCGGGAAAGTGTTGGGGCGGTCTGGGCAGTACTGGAACTGACGTTCAGCACGCTATTCTGTACGATCACGAGAGTATATCAGTCTAACGAATTGATATTTGAATTTGCATAAGCAAAAAGGTTCATAAACAGGCGATGATCGTTTTAAAGTTTGTCTTTGTGTTGTCACGAAGCATTATAACAGCTTTAGGGTATAAAATTGCTCTTTTGAATAGGAAATCTGCAGTAAAAAGTTTCTTGTGAAGATTTGATCGGGACTTTTCTCTAGGCTTTAAAAGGTGAGAGTAAACCAGAAAAGGATTCCAGTATACATTATATACAATTGATGTATGTCTTCATTCACAAAGCTTTCGCCGGCAGTGTTATAATACTGTACAACTATGGAAAATGGATTCGAATGCATGCATATCTCTGTATATGCCATTTACTGTACTTGCATTTGTGAAACTGCCATACGTCCACCGTAAAACTTAGAGAATATTCTATGAATAGGTACAAGGAGAAGTTTTCTATCTTATTCCAGACTTTTAAAATCACTAATACAGAAGCAACCGACCTACCTACCGACCCTTCCTTAAAATCTCCTACCCTATCCTTCTACCTTAGGGCCGACTTAGGATTTTATATTTTCTTTGAGAAAGTTGTTCAATAACTTGTATTGATTGAATATGGATAAAAACCGAAAATCTGGGCAGCCACTATGATTTGAAATATTTTTGTCAAAAATTGTATACTTTTGTAATAATGATTAGTTTTAATTGATTTAAACCCAGTTAAATTGTTGCTTGAAGATGAATTGAGCCTTTCGCATTTGAGAGAAAGACTTTGGCCATAGATGAAGATATTATTTCATCTATGCTTTGGCCATTCACAAGAAGTCGAACTTGATACAATAGTTATGTTTGATAGTTGCGTAGAACCACGGACGATATCACGCAATGATGTTTTGGTATGTCGTATGTAGTCAATGATATAACACACCACAAACACACAGATAGTTTATCATGAACACATTTCACTGTACATGACGTTTGCTAAAGCCGCCTTGGGGCGAATCTATCGCTGTATCCAGCAATACCAAGATTTAAATGGGACAATCTATTACCTATCTAGATTGGTAGATTGGTAGACGTCACCGTCTTCAATTTTATCGCAAAATAAGCTTAATTATCAGTTATATGAAGTACATGACACGTACAGGGAAAGTGAAAGCCACGTCCACACCCCATCCAATTAGAAACCATTCATTAATTCCGGGTATCTGCAGTGATGCGATTTGTGTAAAAAATGAAAACCAGACAGGGATTGGTAATGACGGTCTTTAAAACGACTCAAATTATATTTCTGAAACAGGTTAAATCACTCTATTCTAATAGACCTTAGCTGTTTGTGCTCAGTGCAAAATAAATACAGTAAAGTAATGTTTGCATTATTATATTTATTTTGTTGGACTTTACTAATACCATTTACTATCATAATACTACCATAGATTAAACACGCTCAGTATTCTAATTGTAAAAAAACCCACTCATACATAGTTTCCGTCCTATGTAAAACTTGTGAATGGGATTGGTTGTGTAAACGAGGAAAAAATCATCACTATTTGTTTTGAAATGTATTATGAGTGAAATCTGAGGAAATTGGGAGAACGCTTGAGAAGTATGTTCCAGTGACGATATAAACAATGATAACCTTTCCAAATGAAGTGTTACCTACCTGCACAATGTATACACCATACATTAACCTAAATGTAAAGGATTAGGCTTTGTAAATTAGGCTTTGTAATCAATAATTATGGCTGGCATATTTTTCTATTCGAATAACTGCGTTTCTACGCTAATGTTATTTATGCGATTTCTGTTATTATAAGGTCCAAACTATAAAGTTCAACAATGCATCACAGCCATTCACCAGTAATTTTTGTATTATGTGTCTCCCTACAACAGTAATCGTCCAGTGTTTTTGTAAGGCAACGGTCCAAACTTAAAGATAAACAATCTCGACCATCCATCAGAACTATTTCACTCGTATTGACTTGAAATTCTCTTTAGCTGCTTAACTATTTTACCACACTAACTACACATGATTTTTTTGCCCTCCATCTTATAACATCAGATGTGAAATCTCACAGATTATTCCAATCACACAATCCCTTAACACGCACCAGTGTTGGGAAGTAGCGCGCTACTTTTTTTGTAGCGTTAGCTGTAGCGTCGCTACTTTTAAAATTTTGTAGCTTTAGCTGTAGCTAGCTACATTTTTAAAGTAGTTGTAGCGGAATTTTAGCTACTTTTCTTGCTACATTTACATTGTTTGAGATAGTGATTTTTACCATAACCTCAACCTTACGTGAAACAACATCTTTCAAACTGAGACTGAGATTTTCAAAACAATTAGGCCTACTTTCTTGGCTTCATACAGCTGGTTGCAGCCGTTTCATTCCCTATTACAACGTTGTGTGGACATGGAGACCATTAAATGAGTGTTATCCACATTTTTAGCTCTCATTTCCTTAATTTACTACTCTATGATTACTGTCAGATAAAATAAAATCGCTACATGCAGACGACGTTTAAACGTTACCGGTACCAGTGACAATACAAGCTATTGAACGCTTGCAAGTGATTGACAGGGAAATTAGTAATCAATTTAGTTTCTTTGTTATATCGATAGTGTTTTAACTAGGGTTTTAATGAAAACCAACACTTAACCTTAAAATAATGAGAAAGCTGGTCATCAACCTTTGCTTCAGCTGTTGATTGTGGTTCATCATCACAAGCCCTTCCTTGGTTAGATTACAAAGATTTTTCTAAGGTTTACTAAATTAACAAAGAGGAAATTACCTGATGAGATTTAAGATATGCCTAGACTACATGATAATTGTAACGAAAAAATCTCCATATAACATGAAACTTACATTTAAAAAATAGCATAGTTTGCTCCTGCTAACAGCTCTTGTATTGGACTATTCCTAGGCTATGCTAGGGCTTAAAACGAATACCAAGTTCAATTATTAGGAATATATCTGTTTAGTCCTTGCAAGAACAAAGCTACTATAGCCAACTTGTTACATAGCCAAGTAGGCCTACATGTTATTTTTACTTTACAAATTTCAACATGTTTAAATTAAAAGCCGATTTCAGGATAAGTTGCTGAATACTGTTTTCTGTACCAACTAGGTTGAAGCACTTGCCCTATGCATAATGACAATAAAGGACGATTTCTTGACATTGAAATGTGTTATTCATAGAGAACAAGTAACTTATCACTATGGTTAAAAGTTATAGCAATGTCGTTTTTAACATTAAAAGTAATGAAAGGTAATAAACTCCAATTTCAATTTCGCGGCAGCCGCGCTTATTGGAGATATTCTTCGGACATTTCCAGTGGTTTTTGAGTTTGTTTTGTGTATTTTTTACCGGTTGTGTGGTGTTCAAACAATGTTTGATACATATGAACTCCGAACTATGGTTTCGCATGTGCTCGTAGAAGGTTTGGAACACAAACAATTGTTTTTCCGTTATGAAGGGATGGACCCAATGATTTATGTTAACGTTCCAGATCACCACACGCTTTACATGCACAAACTAACATAAGTGTTTCGTCCATGACTAAAAAGAGTGAACTGAACTATGTTTTAATAGAGTACTGATACTGGGAAAACCCAACAGGAAGCGGTTCATCCGCCCCGTGTGGCCAGGCACTTCGCGCGGCTTAACTTCGCGCGAAGATAAGCCGCGCGGCTTAAATTCGCCTCGTGTGGCCGGGGCCTTAACACAAAAAAGTATTTTTTAAATAATCGTTTTACAGTTTAAGTGGTCTTAATTGTTGATATAAGACATCTATAAATTAATCTATATTAAAGAAATAAAATGAGCTTTTAAAATATAGTTTGGTTGTATGTCCTTTGAACTTAATGAAATTTACATATAAGATGCTTAAAAATAATGCAATATTTAAAAATAAGCACTAAATATGATGGGACACCCAATTATTTGATGCTGTTGTTGTAATGTTAGGTTTATAATGCCAACAAATTAAATCAAATCTAGGAATAATTTGTTTTCCAAGTAATGTTAGATACAATACTGACATTTCTTGTTTAAATGTTTGTTCAATAAAAATGTTGTTGCAATTAATTTTACATTTTCCTAATGTGCGTGGCATAAAAAGTAACGTCTTTGGAAAAGTAGCTAAAATTGTAGCTGTAGCTACATTTCATTGTAGCTGTAGTTGTAGCTAGCTACTTTTTCGGAACTGTAGCTGTAGCTGTAGCTAAGCTACTTTTTTGGAAATGTAGCAGTAGTTGTAGCTAGCTACATTTTAAAAGTAGCTTCCCCAACACTGACACGCACAGCTTTAACCGATGCGTGAAACGATAGAGAGATGTTCATTAGCTTAATTGCATCAGGAAACGTTTCGGATGGGATCCGCACATCATCGTCCTCACATGTGGAAAGAATGTACTAACAAGGTAGTATATATGCGGTGGCCTGCATCGGTCTATCACAGTCGAGAAGATGAATCTGAGGATAACGGTACTGTGTGTGATAGTGGGGCTAGTGTTGGGTGTGAAAGATGTAGAAGCTAGGGCAGTGAGTAGCAGGAGAGTTCATCAGGAGCAGGATAGAAGACAAGTGGAAGGAGAGACTAAACGTGAAGGATACGACTACGGAGCAGGAGATCACTCTTTCGGAGTGAAGATACAACATCCGTCGTCGAAGGAGACGCAGTCATTTCAAGATAGTGGGAGTAATGAAGGACATAAGGAACATACACATTTTGAACATCATCAAACATTTGAACACCACCCGCACGCAGAACGTCTAACATCTGTTGAACACCATGAACATCAAAGTTCTCAACATCAACCTCTTGTGCAACATCAATCGCAACATCAAGGCTTCCAACCGAGCCAGAAGGAAGACTTTGGAGAGTGGAAAGCCATTCCTCAACACCACCAGAGCGAAGTCAAACTCGAGTCTCATGATGCTGTAGAGGAGATCCAACCGTACTACTCCGGAGGCGAAAGTCCCCAACAGGACATCAAACAGGGGGAAGACTTTAAACTCATACATGAGATAAACCATGGGATAGGAGATTTGAGCAATGCTGGACATTCTTTGGAGTTTGATCATCCCAAAGTAGAAGAACACATTGGGGAGCACGAGGAAGAGCATCATCACGAGGTGAAGACTGTGACAGTGACGAAGGAAGTCCCAGTGCCTTACACAGTGGAGGTGGAGAAGAAAGTGCCTTACAAAGTGGAAGTTCCTGTAGACAAGCCTTACAAAGTTGAGGTAAGATTCAAAATTATATGAGTTAATGTTTGGTGATTCATTTTCCCTTATTAATTATTTTTTCTTGGCAACAAATTAACTCTAAATTGTCTTTGTATTTGTTGACACATAAATTCAATCCAATAGTGATTTATCATTACAAGTTTTAATTGCCATGATATATTAGAAAGTGATTGATAAAGAATGTTGAAAAGTATAATACTTTTACTCAGAACATTTTAAATTGATGATTTTATAATATATACAACGACACAAATTTCATCTTCGTATTGCAAAAAAATTGTAATACAATGGCATGCACCTACTACACCTAAATTGCATGATTTAAAATAGTTTTGTTTGTTTCATTGTTTTTGCAACAAGCACACAATTAAAACAGTGATATACTACCGTTTACAATTGCAATGCAAAATAAATTGTAACAGATTATTCCACCACGAAGTACCATTCACGTAGACACAAAATATAAAAAATATTACAACAAAAATACGTCATCAGCATAGTAAAATGTTTAAATTCTTATGTTTGGTTAAACAAATTAAAAAAGTAAATGCAGTTTGACAGCCATAGCAAACAATAATGTTAAAACTTTTACTATGAATCATAACTTTTTAAATTCATTAAGCTCATTGCCTATTTGTTTCTCCATTATTGCAAACATTTGTGCATTGCATGATGTTTGCAGTCACGATTTCATTTTCTCAGGATCGTATATCAATCAGTTTATTGCGAAAAAACATTTGGTATCATGTAAATTTTACTTTTAATTTATTGTGAACATGTTGAAATTTTTGAGCATCCACTCTTTGAAATTTTACAAAGCCAAAGAGTTTTATTCTACTATAAATATTTACAACTAAACCGACACCCCTATCGTATTTAACCATAAAATAGTTTATATAATAACAAGAGTAGAAAGTGAGCCATTAAATATTTTAGATCATAAAGTGGGATACAGATCTCGCACTTGAAAATATATGGTCTCAAATATAAATAAAAAACCCACTTTCACTCTTGTTTTGAAGGTATTTTTTGCTACAATGCTGTGACTAATTATTTCAAAATTAACAATAATAGACATTTGAAATATTTCTTTGTTACAGTTAGGAACATTTGATAACAAATGGCATTTTTTTAGCTTAAACCTTATATTTAAAGTTTAAATTTAGATTGATTGTAGGCATATGTTTGTTTGTTTATGTCGGAAATATCAAAAAAATTTTGGTAAACATTATTTTTGCATCGTAAACATTCTTTTAGCGTAGTATGAACAATGTGATGATGACTTTCGAGAGTGATAAACATATACCAAAAACAGGCGATTTCACAATAGTGTATCCAAAACCCGTATTACATTACATTATATTACACTCATCATTAACTTCCAGGTGCCAAAGCCATACCCGGTCTACGTTGAGAAGAAGATCCCCTACAAAGTGAAGGAGTACGTGCCACAACCTTACACCGTCTACAAGAAAGTGCCTTACACAGTGAAGGTCCATGTGGACAAGCCTTACCCCGTCCATGTACCGAAGCCTTACCACGTGGTTGTGGAGAAGAAAGTGCCTTACCACGTAGAGAAGCACGTGCCTTACCCAGTCAGAGTCTACGTAGACAAGCCTTACCCCGTGCACTACCCTGTGTACAAGCACGTACCTTACACCGTCGAGAAGAAGGTACCTTACCCGGTCAAGGTGCCTGTGGAGAAGCCCTACCCGGTGTCGGTGCCAAAACCTTACAAGGTTAGTGGTTTATAGACATGACCTTGTAGCTTTGAAGGGCTGGATATCTCCAGTAGAAATACCAATTTTGTCTTCCTTCAAGAATTGATCCATCGTAAACTGTTGAATTTAAACCTCCATTTTATATAATCAACAATGAACATCGCGCAAAATATATCCACACATTAGTGCGAAATTGCAACCCTTGCTCAATTTGTTCACATATCTGTTCTGGTCTCACGGACATGAATAAATGTATTCAGAATGTTCAAAATCTCACGATTTAATTTTTTTTTTAAATTAACCAGTTTCGTTGTTTGTATGATTTCAGAGAGTTTATCCAGACATTTTGCCATGAAAAGGCAAAATGGCACAAAAAAAAACTTAAGTCAAAAAGCCTTTCCCAATATTTAAAATTGTGCCATGGCACCACCATGTTCAAAGCTGAAGCTTTGGCAGATTTTTCTTATTTTTTACAAAATAAATTGCATGAGAAAACATAGAAAGTTTAAAATTGATGTAGTGGGTTTAGGTAACCAGAACCACTCAATTATGATGTTGTCGTTGCTCACTTTTGATCGTGTGTTTAAAAGGATTATTAGCAAAGGATATTCGCACAAAATGGTATCATGCACAATTAATACATTCCCTTCATTTTCAGGTATACGTAGAGAAGAAGGTGCCGTACACAGTTGAGAAGCCGGTACCATATCCAGTCCATGTCCCGGTCTACCATCAGGAAAAACATGAACACTCTATACATCACGAAGGGCCACACGCATCACACGAACACTCTTCCTCCCATCACGAAATTCCTCACATATCACACGAACACTCTTCCTCCCATCACGAAATCCCACACATATCACATGAACACTCTTTCTCTCATCACGAAATTCCACACGCATCTCATGAACACTCTTCCTCTCATCACGAAATTCCACACATATCACACGAACACTCTTCCTCCCATCACGAAATTCCACACGCATCATATGAACACTCTTCCTCCCATCACGAAATTCCACACATATCACACGAACACTCTTCCTCCCATCATGAAATTCCACACGCAGCACACGAACACGCTTCCTCTCATCACGAAATTCCCCACTTTTCACAACACCATTCATCCGTTCACCACGAAATCCCACACGCATCGCAACAATCACACCATGAATTTTCTCACAAGTTCCACCAATTTGAACAAAACAGTCACGGGCATTTTCACCATGAAACACCTCACACATTCCACGAATATGCTTCTGCCAGTCATGAAGTCCCGCAAAAGTTTTATGCTGAACAGAAAGCTCACGAAAGTTCCCGCCACGAAGTTAAACTTCCCCTAAACCAAGGGAATGTTGGAGATCAACCTTCCCATAGCAAAAGGGAAGAGATTAGGGAACAGAAAGTTTCGGAGAGTCGCCAGCACGAGTCCAGGCAAGGTCCAGACCATCTTGTCAATCAGGAATTGAAAGCTTCTACTTATAGACCTCCAACTTCTTCTTAAGCTTTGGAGAAGTTCGATCATTCGTAGAGGTTCAGAAATGCTGGCGCTCTATAAAGCCCAGGAAAGACCTCCTTAGGAGGCTTTTGAATAGACTGATGTAAATATTATGCACTGTTCTTCGAAATAAATTATGTTATTTAATTAGTCATAACTACTTTCTTTCTACCCCTCGACTTGAATGTACTGTTTACAATGCCTATCCAATTAAAATAAATGTTATTTTATTCTTGGCTAGATGAACCCAGTAATAAGTTAATACTTATGCGAAAGGATAAAGTTGAAAACAATGTGATACATAAAGCTTTACAATGTCTATTTTGAGTTTAAATAATGCATGAATTCAAAGATCATTTAATTTTTGGAATTGAAAATATTTTCACGAAGAAATAGGTTTAGAATATATAAAAGCTTATTAACGTCCAGGGCAATTTTATAAAATTAATTTGAACCAAATGAATATATAGATTTACAAAGTATGTAGCTAGTAATGTTTTAGGATGTCTTGGCTTTGAGCCTTAAAATTTACAATACGTGTTTTAAATAATATAATAATTGAAAATAAATTAATAGATAATAGAACTTGTTAATAGGAAACAGTCTCATAATTGATGATTCTTTTCTACCTGTGGCAGCAGTTTAAATGTTTGGTGGACGTTTTTGTTGTTATGTTGCTACTGTTGTTATTTTATAGTATCCTTTAATGCATAATTATTTTGTTGAATAAAGCCTAACCAATGAATACGAACTCTTTTTACAAAAGGGTTTGTATTCATTGGCCTAACTCTAGGTTATTATCTCATTAATTCAATCTACACTATCCAAACAACTTAATGAACTTAAAATAATTCTAATGAAAGTATATAAATATAATATAGTTCTTTAAACCTAGTTTCCATTATTTTATAAATCTGTTTACTAGCCTACACTAAATAGTAAACGATACAATTAGAAAATACGAATTAATTTAAATAGTCAATGTTTTGCTTTTAATTGTTTGCAGAGTAACAGAAAGGACGTAAAAAGTTTTAGTATTGATCTAACAAAACTTAGAGCATTCAGATCCACATAAGTAAACCACTGTGTTTGTGATTCCCGCATAGTTTTCCATGCAAATACCGAGAACTGCTGAACTAGAACTAACAGGTCTCGTATCACTAGTTTCATAGTCGTTCTAACTGCATTCAAGCCTCTATCTGAGACATTAAACTGACCGGAAGGTTATCGAACAAGCGTAGTTATAAATAGTTAGCTTAACTGTTCAAATAATAGTTATCGTGTATAAAATAGTAGTTTTATTCAAATATTAATTTTACACATTATGTTCATATTCATTTTCTAAGGATTCCACTTTTAATTTTCATCCTCTATGCCATCTATACGAGTGTGTGGTTTGGTTACAAAATTAATAATGGGAAAATAAATTTTACTTTTACCATACAATAATCAAACGGGTTCTAGCTAAGCAGGTATGTTCATCACTATATTAAGCCTGAGTATACACAAGTTACACCAACGGTCGACCACATGAATGTAGGTATTTTAAGCCAAGTATGAATGGAGATTGGTCATCATAGAAGAACCCAAACTACAAAGTAACACTCTGATAGACTTGCGACCCTTACGACGATAGGGAGAATCCAGTAATCTTAAGCCACACAGATTTTAGTAGTTAATTAAACACAACTCCATGGAAACATTATCATGGAGTTTATTTTTTCCATAGTCAACGAATTACTTAACTACACCTCTGTTAAAGACAAAGACAGCTAAAATGATTTTCAACGAAGGGATACCCAACCCAAACTCATAGTCAAAAATTCAAAATACTCCTTACTCCTTAATAAACTACAATTAACAAAAGAGTTGAGGAGATGAAATAATTAATTAATATTTAAAATTATAATAAAAATAATTTATGAAATAAAAACTTAAGCCACAATAAATTAATTAACAAATAAATGCACTGTAATAAATACTCGTCTGTGCTAACATTGCTACTATCGTCTCTACCTGTGCTTTACAACGGAGTGAGTACTGTATCAGCATTGACTATCAATACTTTAGCATCCAATAGTCAATGGTATCAGTTAGAGAATGTATAATGTTTTTCTAAAATAAATCCAGCACCTCCAACTATCATATTGTTGTTGTTTCTATATATTTTTTTAAACAAAGCACTCCCATCGTTTATTTTGAACCAGCTATCATGATAAAATTTAAAATTTTTCAAAATGCAATTGGAGTACGTTTAAAAATAGAATGTAGCCTAAACTCAGTGGTTATTCGTTCATTGCCAGAAGACCAATCGTTGATGGTCCCTTGTGTCTAACCTTAGGTAAACCCTAGTTCTAAATTGAAACGGGAATAAATCTACTGTAGTTATAACCTAACTGTCATTTACCATAGTAATCGTAGATCATCTAATTGTACGTGAACTTACCGTGCATTCACATCTTAACATTTTCATTACCGGGCGACACACTCCTCTGTATGTGTAGTCTCTTGACACCCGGTATGTATTGAATGTGATACATAAGGTTCTAGGTGTGCGTCACTGTATTGAAACAACGGTAATCATGGTTATGAGATTATCTTTGTGCAACACTTAAGCTAATTTGGTCCAGTGGGTTTAGTGTTTTAGTTTGATAAAAATCTACTTCAGCTTGTCCATATTGGTTTGTTCACTTCACTATTTAAAAGTTATTATCTTCTACCCTCCACAGTCAAGCTAAGCCCCATGGAGGTGCCAGAGGTGGAAGGGAGGGAGGCCTAGTAACCCAGTGAGGGTGCCGGACCGTGGCGGAGGTACGGTACCGAGGACAGGGAACCGAGGAGGTAGTCACTAGTCAGTGCGTCGTCGTGCCGGTACCATGGTCGGTAGTGATACAACCAGCGGCTGTGTGCTGGGAGCATGGCTCGTGGTGCTTCTGCAGGTAAGATAAGGGTACATTGTGTCGGAATTAATAGTGATTTTGAATAATGATAAGTGATTTTTGTGTGGATTTGAATCTTAAAATTTAGGAAAGTTTACGTACTTGACTTAGGTCTAAGTTGATTTTATCTGTGGTTGACAAAAGTATTTTATAGTTTCATAAGGGAGAAATCGTTGCGAAAACTTCGATTTTATCTACTCCCTTACAATATTAACCAGTTTTGATGATTTTAGCAGTATCCAAAATCGCTGGAAAATTTAAAATAAAATATATCTCACTTAATACAACAAGGGTTTCTCTTTAATATACCTTTTTCAACTGTGATACTTTTCACAATTGAAGTGTCATTTTAAAGCTTGTGATCTAGTGCACCTGCGAATGGGAACAAAAAGGGTAGTTTCCGAACTTCGCCCCTTCGCCCCCTATTTTTTAAATTATTTCTAGAGTTCACTTTCAAAGATTAAGTGTTTCTGACAAACTTTGTTTAAATGGTCTAAATATGAATTGTAATCCAACAGATGATCCTTAAGTTGAATGGTTAACACAGTCAAATTGTAAACTAGAGACAGAAAAAAGGTTTATGAAAATGTATTTTTGTCTACTTTTTTAATTAACTGCAGTCTGATTGAGGTTGGTAAATTCTTCTTTAGTTTATACAGGGTGAATTTTAAATGAGTTCCCCCCCTACTTTTTTCTACATTTCTTAAGATATCATCTCCGGACCACGTCAGATCATTGTTTAGTAGTAAGTACTTCATTTTGACTGGGTATACATTTTTGGCCGCCATCTTGGATCCGCCATATTGGATACAAAGTTTTTTTTTCAAATGTAAAGGTAGGGTTGTGACCCATTATTTCAAATTAGAATTTTACGCTGATTACAATGCCGCAATTATTTTTTAAAAATCTTGATTTGTTCTAAAGTTATGAGGACTTTTTATAACTTTATTTTTAGCGCATTTTAACATTGTGCATTTACAAACTAAGACCATAATCTCAAAATAGTGCTAGATAAAGATAAGTATACACCACCATTCATTGTCGACATATTTTCACTTGGTTATGACGGATGTAGTTTTTTCAGCCGCCATCTTGGATCCGCCATTTTGAAATGTGATCAATTAATTTTAATATGAAGGTGGTGTTGTGACCCATCATTTTGAGTTACTTTTTTATGCTGAACTCAATGCCGCAATCCGTTTTTCATTTGCATCTTTGGATTTTGAAATATTGAAATTTTAAATAAGAGTATTTTAATATTTCATCAAGAAAGCTTGATAACCAAAAACGGATTGCAGCATTGAGTTCAGCATAAGAAAGTAGTTCAAAATGATGGGTCACAACACCACCTTCATATTTAAATTAATTGATCACATTTCAAAATGGCGGCTCCAAGATGGTGGCTGAAAAAACTACATCCGTCATAACCAAGTGAAAATATGTCGACAATGAATGGTGGTGTATACTTATCTTTATCTAGCACTATTTTGAGATTATGGTCTTAGTTTGTAAATGCACAATGTTAAAATGCGCTAAAAATAAAGTTATAAAAAGTCCTCATAACTTTAGAACGAATCAAGATTTTTAAAAAATAATTGCGGCATTGTAATCAGCGTAAAATTCTAGTTTGAAATAATGGGTCACAACCCTACCTTTACATTTGAAAAAAAACTTTGTATCCAATATGGCGGATCCAAAATGGCGGCCAAAAATGTATACCCAGTCAAAATGAAGTACTTACTACTAAACAATGATCTGACGTGGTCCGGAGATGATATCTTAAGAAATGTAGAAAAAAGTAGGGGGGAACTCATTTAAAATTCACCCTGTATAGTGTAGATCTAGATATTTTGGTATTGCATTAATATTTTTTACCTTGTAATTAAGTTTTTAACTCTATAAAAATGCGCATGGGTCACCTCGTAAGCACTACTTAGTTAATCTTTCGGGTGATATGAAACTATATTAGTCTGGAGACAGAGATCTAGGTCAATATAAAAACTTCGGCTAACTTATTATAGTAATTTAGTCAAGTGGCTATTTTTTGACGGTGATTCATGCAGATAACTCATTTTTAAGGTAAATAAGATAAATAATCGATGACTTTAAGTGGGAAATAACTGACAAAGCTCCTGTGCTCAAGGCACTCCGTTTGTCACACCTTCATAAAGAAGTGAATACCTCCATCATTTTAATTACATTTTTTATTAG